CTGAACATTTGAGCATGTTTAGCATTTGTCTGCCTTGGAGAGCTTCAACAGCACTGGCTTAGCTGAAAAATTGATTCTGATGCTGAAAAGTTTAGTAGGTGACCCTGATTAAGAGTAACGTGTTTGTTTGCTCCTCTCTGGAAACCAACCAGTATGCTTTCTTTTTGTGATGAGGCAGACACCAATTCTGCAAGATGATGATGTTAAATCTTTAGCTTTACCATTGGTTCAGGTCTAACTCAAATTCTTATGCTTTGATTTTATCCACTTCTTACTTTTTAATGTGGCTAGTAGAAAATTTTAATGTATGTACAGTATTTGGCTAGCAATATAATTTCAGTGGTCACTGTTGCTTGCGTCTCAATGTTTGCATTCTTTCATTTCTAAAAGCAATACTCTATTAAAGCTGGACAACTTAGTTCGGATGAAACACTCCAAAATTAATATCCATCCTCCAAAGTCATTATTATCCTTCCTTTTCTTTAAGAGGCTAAAAGAAAGAGGAATTCGCTTTTTTGAATCAGAAGTAGGCATAAGACAAATACACGTAAACGTAATGGGGATGTAAGAAAAATCTAAAAGTAACAAGTAAAAGTAAAAAACTAAAAGACTGTCTACTGCCTGTAGACAAACTGTTAACAAAACACAGTAATATGTACACCTGGACAAGCATCAATCCCGTGAGGAAACCCAGCAACTTTAATTACTTCACCTACGGGCACTACATTGAGAATTGTTTCTTTCCACTTGAGTGGAAGCATGTTGCTATGGTAGAGTAAGCTGTCATGAGTGTTGCTTCTCTTATGCCAGAACTGGCTTCTGAGGCTCATTTTTATATGTGTTATATAGATAATAATTAATACTTGTAGTACACTGACAACAATAACGAGCACAGGCTTTAGAGTCAGAGTGATCTAGGTTTGATTCTGGCTTTGCTACTTGCTAACTCAGTGGCCTTGGGGCTGCTGTTTCACCTCTGGAGCCCTACCTGCTAATCTGTAAAATAGAAATAGTAGAGCCACAGCACCTAATGGACCAACTCCCTGCCTCTGCTTTTAGACATTCTTCACCGTAAGTTTTGAAATCTGCTCTGCAAATATGGTTATGTCTCTACCTTTTGCCAAAGAAATGTTATTTTTCACCTTAAGCTTCATGAAAAGAACTTTGGGGGCACCACTGACCTAGGCTTTTGACATTTGTCCTCTGTTGTTTGTGGAAATCACTGGAGAACTTACATGGTGAGCTACGGCTTATCAACTGTGTCCACGGTTGACAAGGAGAGACAGCCAGTTAGGAAATGCCTGCAGAGATTACACATAGAGAAATGTTATGCATGTTTTTATTGCAGACAAAATGGAGGGAGAGGAAGCTAGCCATGAGCCATCTTAAAGGATTTTACCCAAGAGTACAAAACTGGACCCAACTGTGAGGCATTCCTTACAGAATGCTGAAAACTAAGGCTTGCAGAGGGAACATAAGCAGTTAGGGGGTTCCAGGTGCTAACTGACCTTTAAGTAGTTGGATGTGATCCAAAAACATTTGTCAGCTTTTAAACACCTGTTATCCAGGTGTAGCGGTACATGCTTGTAATCCCAGGAACCAGGAGGATGAAGCATGAAGACTGCCAGTCTGGGCCCACTCTGGGCAATTTAGTGACTTAGCAAGACCCTGTCTCGAAATTTTAAAAAAAGAAAAGAAAAGAAAAAGAGCTGAGGATGTAGTTCAGTATGAAGACCCTGGGTTCAATCCCCAGTACTGAAAAAAATAAATAAAAAATAAAATCTTAAAAAACACATACCTGTCAATCCTTATCAGCTACACTGGAGAGTTAGCTTCATGGTTGGAGGATACAACCTCTTATGCTTATGAGGTTTTACAATTTGTCTTTCAGCAGCTACATTTCATCCTCTTTTTCTCCATAGCTACATAAAACTAAGGTTCCTGAACTCATCTCTTCTGCTAGGCTGAGAGCTGTCTGGGGAAGGCTCTGGTCTTCTCAAAGTAATTCCTGTTCTATGAAAACTATTTCCAGGCTCAGGGTGTCATTAGTTAGGTAAAGATAATACAACATTTTTGGAACAGTATCAAATAGGACTTCAATTATTCAGTGAGAATTTGTACCTATTTGCCACATTAGCCACCACCTTGTGGGGAAATTTAAGGACAGAGTAAATCACAGTGGCTTATAGGTTAAGCTCACCATGTTAAGCTGGCATGAACTTAAAAAGACTAATTCTAGAATGGAAGGAGAACAAGAGGGTAAACAAGGGATGGGAGAACAAGGCTATTCTTTGTGACATATTTGAATGCATGTCAATAAATTGAGGAATTAAAGAACAGAATGAAAGTTAAGTGCTATGGACACTGAAAGAACCTAAGGCTCACCTTGAGTTTGAGGAGTTTGGAGTGGGCTTCATATAACAGTCCACACTCTAAAGACTCTCAGCAGGTGGATATCTAAGAGAAGGGCCCAGGAATTCCACATCTGGAAAGCAGTGAGCTAACTGGAGCTTGGGCATAAGGGGGAAAAAGTGGACTGGTAGTGGAAAGTGGATTGCAAAAATCTCAGATGCCAGGGTGAGGGAGTCAAATTTTCCATATTTAGTCCAAATAGTGAAAGATGTAGGGGGAAATTTCTCAGTGTATAAAGGTTCTCAACATTTATTTTTGTGTTGAGAGAGCCAAAGAATTCCTATCAGATTGTCTCAAGACAAGGGAGGGAATTGTTCCTTTTCCCCTTTCCTAAACTCTAGGGCAGTGTTGGCAAACCTTTTAGAGCTTTTCAGTGATAACAAACATCCTGCTGTGGCATGCGTGCCATAAGTTTGCCACCACAGCAATAGGGCGTACTACTAACACATTTTGATTTTAAGATTAAAATGCCTACAGGTAGATAAGACTTTAAGTACTTCAAAAGTGTTTTAGTTGGAGGAACTTGCCTGTGTACACCAGGGGAAGAATTTAGGGTATACCACACACTAGACTAAAGATTTTATTGTGTAGCATCATAAGTTATCCCTAAAGTACCACCAATAATGTAACAGTCAATCCATCTGCACTTTGCACACCTATCATCCATTCCACATGTCAGCATTTTTGGAGTGTACACCATGTGCCAGGTCCCATGCTGGGTACCTGAGCTGCAACAATGAATAAAACTGTCAATAGTAGTGTGCATCAGTGTGTTGGGGACAGAAAAAGTGAAATGGAGATAGGAAGATAGGGCTGGGAAGGGAGGCATGATCACATCTCAGGACACATGTGCAAAACAATTCTTAGAACCCCACATGTGGATTTCTCCTGAGAACTCGAAATGTGTGGAATGAATAAAAGGACAAGGCACCATGAAGAGCTTGCTAATGTGCCACCCCATGTCAGCTGGCCCCATATTCTTTAAGGTGTGCTTTTATTTTTATTTCTTTTATTTTTATTTTTACCCAAATTTGCTCTGCAGAGCCAGTTTCTTGCCCTTCATTTTTAATTTCTCCTTTTTAATTTTTCCTACCTCAAATAAATATGAAACTTTGCCACCGTTTTTGCTCATTTTGATCAGCTGAGATGGAAAGAACCTAGAAATCACCTCCAGAATGAGACTCCAGCACCCCAAAAAGCTGGTAACAAAATGAAAATGGTGAAACTTTGTCGCAACTGGGAGACGTATGAAAGTTTACTATGCAATTTATTTACTTTTTGGTATGGATGATAATTTTCCTAACAAAGTTAGATATTAATTTTAAAAACCCTCCTTTTTTTCAAGCAAGTGAGCTAATTTGACAGGTGTCTGTATCACAAGGGCAAATTGCTCCATGAAGTTGTAGCTAGGATATCAGAAGAGAAATCCTTGTGGCAGGATAGGAAAAGAGGTTAGGAAATGTCTCCTGAGGGGAAGGTAACTCTTTTCTAGAAGTACTTGCTCTGACTGAGTAGTCCTGACTCAGGCTCAGACTAGGTTTGGAGTCAGAGACAGAGCCAGAAGTGAAGAATTAGCCTTCTTGTTTTCCTAGTGTAGCAGCAAAAGTAAGTAGACATCAGACTCAACCAGCGTTTTCTGAGCACCTATGTCTCAGGCGTTTTGCAAAGGCTTCAGGTTAGATTTTGCCTGTGCTACCTACAGAGCTGGAATCAGGAGTCTAGGACATTTCTTCAAGTTGTGGGGAACGCCACACAATCAAGCCAAAGGCAGGTTAGGCACCCGGTATTTCCAACTTCAGGGAGAGGAGTATAGATCTGAAACTTGAGATCAGGCAGTAGTAGGTTCAAATCTCGACTAGCGTCATGGCTTTGAACAAGTCACAGAACTCCCCTAAATCGACTCAATTTCTCCATCTATATAGAGGGTAGTGTAAAACCTCGAAAGGTTTATTGCGAGCAGATTCCGACCGTTAAGATCCTAACGCGAAGCGAAAGCTACATAAATGGCAGCCATCATTCTTGGCCAAGTGGGGGCGCATCCTCCGGGCGGGCCTCCCGCGGGGTCCCCCAGGACCAGCGGGCAGTCTCCGCCTCCGGGCTGCGGTCTCTGGGTGCTCGCGGCAGGTGGCCCAGTGCCTTGGTGCCCACGCCCCGAAGCGAGCCAGGAGCGCGGGCTGGTTGGATGCCGTCGGCCCCGCAGGATCACTCCCTCTCGCCCCATTCACGCGACCGGAGCAGGTGAGGTTTCTGGCCCAGGCCGCGGGGACAGGGACCTCGGGAGACGTCGAGGCGGAGGCCGCAGCCCTAGGC